TATTTTTAGTAGAGACAGGGTTTTGCCATATTGGCCAGGCTGGTCTTGAACTCCTGACTTCAGGTAATCCTCCTGCCTCCTAAAGTGCTAGGATTACGGGCATGAGCCAGTACACCTGGCCTATATTTGCAAACTTATTGAGCTCTTATCATATGTCAGGCATCCTTTCATTAAATTATATGAACCGCTTTAAGGCAGATTCTATTATTATTGCCTCCATTTTTAAAGCAAGGAAACCAAAGTTATAATAGAGATATTGATTATTTTGAAGCCTTCTCCAGCAGGAGCCCCTGGAGGTCCTGGCCAGGCTTTCTCTACCCTGGAGTCTTCAAAGCTCTGTTTCTAGAAATTATATCACCTTAGCAGATGCAGTAAGGGGAGAATCCAGACTAACGGCATCCTCACCAGTCTGTTCTCAGACCAGAGAGGTCTTTCCAGGCTTTTCTCATGTCTTCCTTTTATAGACCCTGTATCATGGCCAAACTGGACTCTTCACAGTTCCTTGTTCCATGCCCTTCAGTTTCCTACCTCTATGTCTGTGCTCTTGCCCCATCACCCAAATTCCCATTATCAAAATTTGAGCTGCTCTGTCTCTAGGCCCTGCCCAATATGTCCCTGTTCTTTTCGGGAAGCCAGGGCAGGGGGCTTCTGGACCTAGAGTCGCTTAGTGGGAGGAAGGCAGCTGGTGGATCCTAAGGGAAGTGGGGACTTAGCTACAAGTTGTTAGGAGCCAGACCTCGATATCTGAATGGACCATGACCGTCTGCAGATGGTCACCTAGCCAGTCTTAGAAGCTGGCAAAGGGAGATCTTGACTGTGATGCAGGAGGACTTGTCAGCCAGGAGTCAGGGACAAATAGGCAATCAGGCTAGGGAAGGGGTGTGTAGCAGTGCAGAGCAGCTGATCCTCAATCATAAGTGGGATGGATAGTAGGCCCATGAGAGGTCATTGATGGAGATGAGTAAAAAGTGTTTTTCCACTTCATCTCCAAGGATGACATTAGTGAGGTAAAAGACCAATATTCCCATGAAGCTTCCTATAGTACATTTGTCACAATTTAAACAGGCTGGATCAAACATTATATTTCTTGTGCTTTTCAGGTCGTCACTGTCTTCTCCTCAGGATAAGTTAAAAGCTTGAGTTATTTATTTATTTATTTATTTCTGTGGAAATGGGATCTCACCATGATGCCGAGGCTGGTCTCAAGCAGCTGGGCTCAAGCAGTCCTCCCACCTTAGCCTAAAAGCTTGAGTTACTGTCTCAGACATTCATGACTGAATCTTGGCACTGCCTATATAGCTATGTGACTGTACAGTTACTTAACCCCTCAGAGTATCATTTTCCTCACCTGTAAAATGAGAGAAGTAGCAATTACAGTAATACCTACCTTGCAGGTTTGTGATAGGGGTTCAGTAAGCTAACACATGTCAAGTGCTGAGTGCAGTGCCTGGAACAGAGTTTATTTCCTGAGAATGGTGGCCAATATTGTTCCCCACATGTGTGTCTCTGGGCCTTTCATCAGACTCCTGTCTCTGGAAAAGCACCCTGCGCATCCTGTCCCTAGTACAACTCCCCAGGCGAGGAGACTCTGAGGATGCTTCAGAACATATTTCTGGTAGGAGGTACTCTGTCTGCCTGAGGGCAGCCCTCAGAAGTGCATTCCTCATGCTGCCGACCTGGACTGGCTGGTTGCAGCTTGGGGAAGAACTTTTCATTGGCTAATAAATGTTTTGAAGGCAAGGACCTGCAGCCTCTTTCCAGGCGCCAGCAGAGTGGTAGAGGACTTTTGGATTTAAGTACTGGAGGGACTTTGCATCTTGTTCTCTGATTCTACCAAGGAAAGAATAAGAGCAGAGAGGCATAATGCCCAGGAAGAATTTATATTCATAGGTTGGAACCACATTTCTCAAAGTGAGCTTCTTGGAGCCCTGGCACCAAGATTGGATAAGGCATGTACAAAAAGTCTCTTAAGGAAGCCAGGCATGGTGGTTCATGCCTGTAATCCCAGCACTTTGGGAGGCTGAGGTGGGTGGATCACCTGATGTCAGGAGTTCAAGACCAACCTGGCCAAGATGGTGAAACCTCATCTCTACTAAAAATACAAAAATTAGGCGGGGGTGGTGGCACGTGCCTGTAATTCCAGCTACTTGGGAGGCTGAGGCAGGAGAATCACTTGAACCCAGGAGGTGGAGGTTGCAGTGAGCCAAGGTCATGCCATTGCACTCCAGCCTGGGTGACAGAGTGAGACAGCCATCGCCCCCCCAAAAAAAAGGTCTCTAAGGAAAGAATTAATGCCCTCAACACTTACCCCTGATTGGTCATTATACAAGGAGAGTAGACAAATGGTCGGGGAGATAAAAGTTGACCTCTGGGACTTCTGTTAGCTTAGATTTCCCAAGGGTAAGCACTTGAGAAGAACTGAAAACACCTCTGAGATTGAAAAGGTAGATTCAGACCATGTGGAGGCTGGATAGACAGGTGTCCAGATACAGGTCACCGGCTTTTACACCCCTAGAAGGTACAGCTTATACACAGACACAAGATAACACGTCACATTGTCCTCTCAGGAAGTTACCTTAGTGGAAAAGCCAAGGGAACTTCAGTCTGATCTCAGCCTCGCTGTAATTTTCTATAAAATGATAAGCAGGTACCCTCCCAACTCTGCCATCCTAAAAATGAACTGCTAATTCTTGGCAGACTGGGGCCAGGCTCTACCTGAGCTACAGCCCCCAATGCTGGCACTCACTCTGACCCCATGTGGAAGAAGCCTGCGCCTCATGAAGTGTCTTTAGCTAGCTCCGTATCTAGCTCTGTATCTCCTCCCTCTGTTACTGAGTGTCCCCCATCCTTTCTGTCCTGCTAGAACTTGGCCTGCTTAGCCCAGTCCACAAGTGGTGGTGATAGAACAGCTCTCAGTTAATAGCCAAGCAGTAGGCTGGAAATTCATTATCTCATTTTTCCTCAAACAACCCAGTGAGGTAGGTACTCTTGTCCCTGTTTTGCAGAGTAAGAAATGTCCTTAGAGAGGTGAGGGGGGCCTTAGGAACTTCTCAAACCCCAGTGCTCCAGGTGGACTTACTCTGGCCTCAACAGGCTCTTCAGTTTCCTGCATTTTTGTCCATTACTCCCACTGCTGGAATATCCTCCCCACCCCCCATACACCTCACCTGTTTGAATCCTCCTTATTGGTTAAAGAGCCCTCAAATTCTGTCTGTTCATGAAGGTCACTGCTCCATGACCTTCAGCCACACTTGCTTTCTCCTCTGAGCTTCCATGACCCTTACCACATTCTATTTTGTATCGTGGTGCTCTGTGTGCATGGCTTTATGATCAGCTTGTAAGCACCTGGATTGATGGGACTGTGTCCTGCACGTCTCCATATCCTAAAAAAAAGTCCTGTATGTAGCACCCGGGGAGTCTCCTGACCAAGGCCAGGAAGAGGCCCTTCCAGCAGGATGGAGAGCTTTAGCAGCAAGTGCTCAAGCCCGAAGTCTTCATAGCTCCACATGTAATTTATTATAATAGCAGAAGAGAAGTACCCATGAAGGCCCGGGATTATTCAAGAGTGGAGGGGGGGAAATAGTCCAGAATTCTCATTCGTCATCCTTATTCATGCAGTAAATCTTTATTGCTGAGAGACAGCAAATCACTTCCCTGCTCCATGTCTGTCTCCAGCAGAAAGTACCTCCCTCACAGCTTCATTGTGAGGGTCAAGTGAGGCAACAGATGAAGTGCTTGTGCACATGTAAGATATTCTTTAAATCATGAAGACAGAGCGGTCAAGGTGCTTACGGCTGATTAGGACAAAAACATGTATACAGGTTTACCAAAATACAAGGTAGAATGTGGGAAGGGTCATCAGGGTATAGGATACCATAGGTAAATGGAGTTCCTCACACATGGAATAGGTTTGGCAGGAGGAGCTCTGGTGCAAAGGCTTTGCAGGTCAGTTAGACTGGCAGGAACAGAGAGGATGAGCGAGGCATAGAAAAGCCTTGATTCTGCTCCAAAAGGATTTTCTCCTCTCCTGTGTCAGGAGTATCCTCACTGCTCTCATGTGGTCAGTAAGTTGAGTGTTTCACAGGTATAGGGCACCCCAAGTACTAGAGAGGAAGAAGCCCCGTCCCTGCTCTCTAGCACTTAGGGTGATGAGTGCTGCCAGGGAGTATGATCACCACCTGGTGTCAGAGCTGGTTCCAAGAGGCCTGGAGGCTCTCAAACCTCCAAGGGCTTATTTTCCTTTTTTTTTTTGAGACGGAGTTTCGCTCTTGTTACCCAGGCTGGAGTGCAATGGCGCGATCTCGGCTCACCGCAACCTCCGCCTCCTGGGTTCAGGCAATTCTCCTGCCTCAGCCTCCTGAGTAGCTGGGATTACAGGCACGCGCCACCATGCCCAGCTGATTTTTTGTATTTTTAGTAGAGACGGGGTTTCACCATGTTGACCAGGATGGTCTCGATCTCTTGACCTCGCGATCCACCCACCTCGGCCTCCCAAAGTGCTGGGATTACAGGCGTGAGCCACTGTGCCCGGCCCCAAGGGCTTATTTTCTAACAGAAAGAGTGGACTATGGACACTAACACTTATTCTACTATGCAGAATGCAATAAGTGGCTTAAGAGAGTTGAACCTGTTTCTCAGAATGTTCTTAGGAGGACTGGAAGGATCAGGCTGGTCTTCATACAGGAGGCAAGTCTGGAGCTCTGAAAAATAGCCTAGGGAGTTGGGAGGATGGTATCCACAGAGGAAAACCTGAGGAGATCAAAGGAAGTGACCCAATAGATATGCCCCAGACAAGAATAGGACCTTTCTTGCCGCAGAGAACAGACAATAACAACTTGTAAAATTGCTGTTTCTAAGAGCCTGCTAACATGCTAGAGAGGATTTTGCATATGTTATCTCTAATCCTTAAAACCACTCTTCAAGGTAGGCACAACCCCCACTTTACAGATGAAGAAATGAGGTTAGGACAGGATTTGCCCAAAGCCACAAAACCAGTTGATGGAGAAATCAGAAGTCAGACCCACGTTTGCTTAGTTCCCTTCCAAGTGCATGAGAAAAACTTTAAGAAATACAGATGCTTCCACACAAAGCAAACCAAGATGGACCCAGAATTGCCACTGCCCTGCCTGTACAACATGAGCACCACCCACTGGATACCTACTCCCAAGCCTTTTCAAATCTGGTACTTTCCACTGTTCCAGGCCACTTGGCCCACCTGGTGCCCTACCCCCTACCTTCTCCATCCCAGTTTCACCCACATCTATAAATGATCTCCCTACCCAATTCCCACTTTTCTCTTGCAGAAGGCCCGAGACATGTATGCAGAGGAGCGGAAGAGGCAGCAGCTAGAGAGGGACCAGGCTACAGTGACAGAGCAGCTGCGGCAAGAGGGCCTTCAAGCCAGTGGGGACGCCCAGCTCCAAAGGACACGCTTGCACAAACTCTCGGCCAGACGAGAAGAGCGAGTCCAAGGCTTCCTGCAGGCCTTGGAACTCAAGCGAGCTGACTGTCTGGCACGTCTGGGCACTGCATCAGCCTGAGTGAGGCTGGCCACCTGCCACTCTGCCCTGCCCTCTGCCTCCAGGGCCCCACTCCCCTTCCTTTTCTTGGTGAAAGGCACCTCCTTTCCTGATAATGAATTGTGTTCCCTTTGCTTGGCTGGGGAGCCCTCCAGGCCAGGTCTGCTGGCCATAGATACCTTTGGGCTGCCTGGAACAGTGGCTCCTGGGGAAGATTGACGGTAAAAGTCTCCCACGAGTACACTAAACCCAGTTCTGGTCACCAAAAGGGTTTGGAGAGCAAAAGGCCACAACTCAGCTGCCTGTCTCCTAGATGCACTTTCTTTTTCCACCAGCACATCCTTCAACATAGAATTTCAGGGAAGAGTTCTCCCCAAAACCCTAGCTCTTTACCCATCCATTTTTAGCCTTCCACCCAACTTCCCCAAAAGATTTGGGTGTACCTTGGATCTGCTAGTAAGTAACTAATAGGAAGCCAGTTATTTGGGTAAGGAAAAAAGGGGCGGGAAAGACAGAAAGAAAATTTGCCCATCTGCTGCTCCTCCCCCTTGGCTCTCCACCTGGGATTTGCTATTGAATCTCTACCCTCTCCCACCACGAAGTGCTGATTGCTCACTGAAAGACCTAGCGCCCCCAATGGTGTGCGGAAGCCAGGCGGGTGATTACAATCCAATTACCTATTGTCGACTCAGCCCACACAAGCTTTTCTCCTCCTCTTGCAGGGCATGGGGCCAGGCTCCACTCCCCTCCATGGTACAGGGTAACAGAAGGGCCTGTAGGCCCTGGTGAATCAAATCCAGCACAGGCCTTCTCCCCTGTAACACAACAGGGCTGAGCAGAACCAAGCACTTCTAGCTGACTCTGCTCCCCACCCTCACCATCTCAAAACTGATTCCCACTTCAGTCTTCGAGGTTTCTCTCAGCTTTTTGACCTGGCTCCCTAAGTAGGCCCTGAGATGATTTATTCTTAGCATGGCAAAGCTTGTTCTAGGTCCTCTCTGTTTGTGAGGGTCAAAGCTGTGTCCTTTCCCTTACCTCCCTCTGCCAGGCCTTGCTGCAGAGCCGCTGAGAGAATTAGTGCCTTTGAAAAGCTGTCTGCCCTAGCAACTCTGTTTCAGGTGCCCCAGACTGACAAGTACCAGCCAGCAACACCAACCAAATGCTACTCTCTTTAGTAAAGTGCATTTGCATTTTTCTTTTCTTTCTTTCTTTTTTTTTTTGAGATGGAGTCTCGCCCTTTCCTGGCTGGTCTCGAACTCCTGACCTCAGGTGATCTGCCTGCCTCAGCCTCCCAAAGTGCTGGGATTACAGGCATAAGCCACCATGCCAGGCTTCCCATTTTACTTTCTGCAAGTTGTTTCCTTAGCAGCTCCCACTAGGGGAGAGGTGGAATCTTGCAAGCAGTAATAGGAGCACACAGGAAACCCCTGACTTTCCTATACCCCAGCTCCCTCTTCCCCTTTCTGTGCTCAGATACCTGGCGGCACGAGACCGCTTGGCTATTGTCCATGCTCCCAGAATCAAGCATAAATGCCAAATACTACGATTGAGAAGCCAATCAATGCACCCTTTGGCAAACCCCGATTCACACCCGGCACTCCCCACTACCTATCCCTGGCATAGGGTTCCTGGAGAGGAGGTGCTGTACATTTTCCAGCTTTACAATGGGGCTGTTGAGAGCCATAATTAGAGAGGCATGAATTATGTGGCTATAATGCAGAGTCCTATAATTAAGGTGGGAATGAGGGGCTGGAGGCAGCCAACAGCATCTGCCTTATGAGCATGGCTGTTGAGTCCTGTCTCCTGGGTCTGACTTTCCGTAATATTGGGGTACAGTAGAGGTGATTAATGGGGCTGGCATCTCTCTTTGGCCTGAGGTTTTCTATTCTGGGAAAGGTACACAGGGTGGAGTAGGGAGAAGCTGCCCCAGGAGGTGATGTAGGGGTGGAAAGAAGAGGCAGAGAAGTCGTCGTAGCCCAGAAACACGAGCTGCGAAATAGTTGGACTCGTGGTTGCTTTGAACAGGTATGATTTGTATAAGGCAGGTTCAACCCTTGCCTCAAGAAATCAGATGGGACCAATTTAAGTGCTCTTCCGCCTGTGAGCCAACCCCCCATTTGAGGACATCTATCGTATTCTTGTGTTCTGGGTCTCAAATAGAATTTTTAAAGATTCTTAGATGTAAAACTTGTTTGCTAACTGCAACGGAAGAACACCTTGTTTTGCTGCTGCAATTGCCTACCCTCCCTCAGGTGCGCCTGGCTAGCTCCCAAGACTGGCTTTGGACTAGGGGGCACTGGAAAAGCCCTTTTGCCATCACACCACCTGTTCCTCTACTTGTTTCCTAATCCCCGGGCGCTTTCCTCCATCGTCCTTTTCCTCGCGCAAGTGAAAGGCAGCCAGCTTGACAGTGTGGAAGGAGGGATTTCGCCAGCTGCGACTGCAGTGCCCAGGCTTGGTGGCCGCGTCGGGTGGGGACAGCTGGGCTAGATGTCTCCGAGATGGGTAGAGTGTAGGGGGAGGGGAGTGCCGGTAGACCTCGGCGGCCGCTCTCCACCATTCTGTGGCGGAGTCTGGAGGTTTGAGAATACAGGGACCTTAAGGGAACCACCCGACAGGCGTCAGGGGGTGGGGGCTTCGATAGCATTTGGGGAGGCGGCTGCGCAACGGGTGCTGAAAGGACAGCTCCTACCTGCCCCGCAGCACCCAAAAGGCACCTCCGCATGGAAAGTCTCCCCATGAAACCCCTATCCCACCTCGAGTGGACGCTTTTTCAGGTGAGGTGCACGAAAGGCTTTCCTGAAGTGGCAGCTCGGAAGGATGCACGTCCGGCTGCGCCAAGCTGGCTTCCCCGCCTTTTTTCCACTTCGGCGTCAGCCTGGCCCCTGGGAACTGCAGCCTGTGCCTCCAGCCGCGCGCTTCCTCCTGTCTCCAGTGGAGCAAGGCAGTGCAGCCAGGCCTCGCAAACCCCTCTTCTGGGGCCCCCAGCGGGAGCAGGAAGGAAAGCCGCTGAAATGTGCCCTGAGTGTCGCACGGCTTGGAGAAGTGGGTTGCTGGGTTGCATAAGGTGGAAGGAACTTGCTAGTTTGCAAAAGCCAGCTCTTGGCGGGAGCCGGAACCCAGAGCCCGCCGACTTGCGCACCCCTCCTCATTCACTGCCTTCCACGCTCGCCTCCCCGACTGCGCCCCCCACCCCCTCGGCGCGCCGCCGCCTCGCGCGCACTCCCCCCCACACACCCCCCTCCTCACTCCCTCCAGAGGAGGTGAGTTTAAACCCCGCCCACGTGACCCCAGCTGGGCCAATGAACGGCGGCGGGAGGTGAAATCCGGTTCTAACCGGTCCGGGGCTCCCAGCGCTATAAAAACTTTATAAACCCCCCGGAGCCCGAGCAGTGTGAAGAAGAAGAGGCGAGAGCGACCCCTGGACCGACCAAAGCCCACGCGCCGCAGCATCCCGCGCTCAGCGCCTACGTCCCGCCGCCGTCGCCACCATGCCCAAGAGAAAGGTACGTGGCGCGAGGGCCCCAGGCGCCGGGCCGCCACTGCCACCACCGCCGCCACCGCCTCCCTGGCGCAGGGCGCGAGAATCGGCGCCAGACAGGAGCCAGCGCTGCCGCCCCGCGCGGGGGCTCGAGGCGGTGCCGGGCGGCTCAGGGCTAACCCTGAGCAGCAGCTCGGCTGCCCGCGGGCGCCAGAGGCCATATTGGAGGAGCGGCGGCCGCGGCGGGAGGAGCCATGTTGGCGGCTGTTTATCCCGCTCCCCTCGGGCTCGGCGCCCCCGCCCGTGCCCCCTCCCCCATCGCCAGGGCCCCTTCCCTCCCCTCCCTGCGGGCGGGCAATTCAAACCCGAAAGGGCGGGAAGGCGGCGCTCGAGGTTGGCGGGCGGGGGAACTTGCTGCCGCCAAAAAACTGCCGCCGTGAGGGGGCGGGGTCTCTCCTCGGGGCGGGGCTTGTGCTGTGTGGCCCGGCCCCTCGCCCACGTTCCCGGCGCACGAGACGCGCGCTGCCGCCGCCCACGAGTTACCCGGGCTGCGCGCGCCTCCCTCTCCCGCCCTCGACGGCTGCCATGGCAACGGCGCTGGGCTCCGCCTCCGGAGGGGGTTTGTTTGCGCCATCTGCAGCTGTTGCTTCTGCCTGGCGCTGTGGTGCGGGTTCGGCTGCCCTTCCCGGCCGCGTTCCGGCTCAGCCCTCGATTCCCGGGGTCGGCTCCTGCGCGCTCTTCGGTCTTAATACGAACGTAGGGCTCACTCGTTTGTTTACATCCCAGAAAAGTTGTGTGGACGACTGCTTTAGACTTCTTTGTTAGGACTCTGAAGTTCAGGAAATAACTAAGAACCACCTCAAAAGTTGCAGTTTTGTGTTCTTGTTTCTTATAGGCTGAAGGGGATGCTAAAGGAGATAAAGCCAAGGTGAAGGACGAAGTAAGTCATTCTCTCTTTAAGGGTCAAAGCCTTGAGTAGCAGAGGCCACTGGACTCGGTGATTAACCGTAACCTGTATCCTGAATTTACACTCCTGTAATCCAGAGAAAATTGATACCAAAACTTCAAAGCGATTTACCTGTCCTATTTCTAACTTTCTCGTTATCTTTAATAGCCACAGAGAAGATCCGCGAGGTTGTCTGCTGTAAGTGTATGCTTTGAATTTTCGTATTTGTCTCTGAGATTAAATGTCAAAAAAAAAAAAACCTTTGCTTCCCATGAATTATGGTTAGTTCCTGGTTTTGAATGATCGCCTCTTGGGACTCTTGCCCCTTTGGGGTTTGCTGGTTCTGAAATTCTGATGGCTGTTGCCAAAGTGGGACATTTGAGTGGGCTTCTGGAGATCCAACATTCTAAAAGAAAGCCAGCCACAAAAACTTGAGGAGGAGGAGAAACTTCTCTACCCTTGGTACTTTGGTTGTACCCTTGGTACTTTTGGTTGGTCGGTCTTGGGTGTTTTTCTTCGGTCCATTGTACTGATGTTTATTTTTTCCTCTCTTCCTGCCTAAAAAAGAAACCTGCTCCTCCAAAGCCAGAGCCCAAGCCTAAAAAGGCCCCTGCAAAGGTAAGTGCTAACATTGGAATTGATCACTTTCACAGAATGAGGACGGTCCTTAGTGCCTTAACTTAGCGTAATGGTGCCTCCATTAATGGAGGTAATAAACTGTCAGTAGCTTGCCTCATCCTAGGGATTCATACCGTTGGTTTCCTGATCAAGAACTCTGTCATTAGTTTGTAGGAAAATCTCCATTTAAATATTAAATATTCTAGGGTTTAAGCTGATTTATTCTGTTACTTACACTTAGGAAATTTTAAGTACTAAAGATTATTGCAAGTTACAGATAATTTAACCTAGTTTTGATCAGTTGTTCTTGTCAACAGGTGAGGGTTTGTGTGTGTTTTGTCTTCAGTAAACAATCCTACCTTGTGCAGAACTTTGCAGACCATACCCTGGCAATAGGAAATGGGGAGAAACAGCTCTATTTTTTCCCCTTTTTCAGAAGGGAGAGAAGGTACCCAAAGGGAAAAAGGGAAAAGCTGATGCTGGCAAGGAAGGGAATAACCCTGCAGAAAATGGAGATGCCAAAACAGACCAGGTACAACTGCTGTTTCACTCTTTTTAGTTGCTGATTTCAGAGATTTAATTACCCTTTTATTTTATCACTCCAGATGTACTGTTTGGTCCAGAGTCTGCTTGTGGCTTTCCTGTTAACTTAAATCCTGGATTCTTGCAGTCTCTACTGTCAGCTGAAGGGCACTATGTTTTATACTATGTAAGGTTTTCAAGCTAGGAGTAGCCTCGGGTCTCTAATTCTGGTATTCCTCCTTCCCCAGTTTTACAATAAGGCCCAAAGGAGAGGTGACTTAGCAAAGTTATTTAGTAAGTCATTCTCAGAATAAATACTCAGTCTCAGTACCTGAAACCTTAACTTTGGCCTGGGAGCAAAATGATGCTGTAGGTGGAATGTAAACAAAGATAGTTTCAAAATCTACACATTGCACTAATTTGTCTGTTTTCTTTTAGGCACAGAAAGCCGAAGGTGCTGGAGATGCCAAGTGAAGTGTGTGCATTTTTGATAACTGTGTACTTCTGGTGACTGTACAGTTTGAAATACTATTTTTTATCAAGTTTTATAAAAATGCAGAATTTTGTTTTACTTTTTTTTTTTTTTTTTTAAGCTATGTTGTTAGCACACAGAACACTTCATTGTTGTTTTGGGGGAAGGGGCATATGTCACTAATAGAATGTCTCCAAAGCTGGATTGATGTGGGGAAACGCCTTTCCCTTCTAGTTTTGAGAGACTTCCTCTTGGCTCCCAGGAGGAGAGATTCCCTGACTTTGACACACATGGCCACCTTGGCACACAAAAGCCTTGTGGTATGGAAAAACAAATTCATTTTTATGTCCTCTTCTCCCTTTCCGTCTTTCAGCATAGACTTAACTCCCTTAAGCCCAGACATCTGTTGGGACCTGACCCCCAGTCATTGGTTACCAGTGTGTCAGGCAATCTGGACTTGCCAGCGATGCCACTGAGATGGCACCTGTCAAAAGAGCAGTGATTCCATTTCTAGATTGTGAATCTTCTTATCTGAAGATTATTCTGCCATTTTCATTTCACTTCCTGAAAGTCAGGGTCGGCTCGTGAAAAGTTGTTAAACAACATGCTAAATGTGAAATGTCAACCCTCACTCTAAACTTTCCCTGTTCAGAGCATCAGATGAAGACTTCATTGGGTTTTATAGTGGCTTTCTGATTTTTGGTAGTCCATCAAAGAAGGGAGTTTGAAAGTTGTTGTATACTGTTAATGATTGTCTGCCCATGTCCTGCCTGAAATACCATGATTGTTTATGGAAAGTATCTTTAATAAAGCTGGATACAGTTTGGCTTGGAATGCTGCCTCTGATCTTTTCCCACAAGTGGGGTAACCTGGTTTATCCAAGTTTCTTGGAAGAGAGTGTGTTCTGCTTTGAGGCTTTCATATACAATCTAATGATCCTTCACTAATTTATAGTCAGTTTCTAAAACACAGTGCTAGATGGAGTTAGGGAGGATTCCGGGAGTATCCTTCATACTGGTGGTGAAAGGCTGAGAGAAGGGAAGTGATTTCTGTACTTTGTTATGCAGCATTCCCTGCAGTGTTTGTTTTTGCATAACTCCGAATACATGAAGTGTATTAAATGCAGATTTTTGGTAGATTTGAGGTTTTGGTTTGGTAGCTGACAGCAAGGAGCCTCTATTTCCATCTGCATCTGTAATCTATAAAATTAGCAAATTAATAGACTCATGTCAGAGTGCCCCTGTGTCACACAATTGGCCAATTGTAAGGCAGATGACACTTTGCTCCTAAGTAGACCTGCAAACAAAGACATGATGGGGTCTTTTCTGATTCCTTTAGTTTGGAGTTGCTGCAGAGAACCCCCTTTCTCTTAAGTGAAATGGCAAGAAGTTATTTGTTAGAATGTGGAACTTGAATTTGCTTTTACAGACCTTGTGGCTGTATTGTTGGACAGGAATAAAGGTAAGTTGGAGACCACAGTTGCCATGTCCATCCCCTTAGTCAAAAAAGTATAGTTGTTAAACTCCTGATGAGGTTTTTTGTGTATTATCTCTCAAGTATTGAGATGTTTGTATAATGTAAGTATCACTCATGGATAAAGAAGCAGGCATAAATGAAGTTTATTTAAGGTTATGTGTACATCTGATGAGCAGCGGAGTCAGGATTCCGACCCTCAAGTAGACAAGTCACCTCTGACAGATATTCAGGATAAAGTTACATTTGTCCATTTAGGCATTTACCAGCCATTTACTTTCATTATTACTGAAGTCATTCTAGGTTGTAGGTGGGTAATTTTTATTCAAGAAGTGGTATCCTCTTCCAGAGGAAACAGATGTCTTAGAGTGGTCAGGGGATAATGTAGGCTGGTATTTGAGCAGAGGTTGCAGGACTTGATAAAGTTATAGCTGGGGTTCTTTGTCGGTGACAAGTCTGCCAAGCCTATATAGCTGGCTATGCTAGCAGCTCTGCCTGATGCTCTTTAATCTTTGGGTCAGTCCTGTGAGATAACAGGTATAGCCCCATTTTGTAGTTGAGAGTGAGGTTCAGATGTGAAGCAACTGGCTGAGGTTAAACTTGATAGTCTGTTTTTATTTTCTGGCCCTCTTCTTGTTTCCAAATAATTAGGATGAGTAGGGTAGGCTTGAACTTTTTGGGTTTTTTTCTTTTTTTTCCTTCCTGGAAAATACTGATTTAACTGGCTCTGGACCATGAAAGTAGCTGGGCCTAAAACCAAACCAGACATCAAATTGTGGTAAGGACCGTTCTCCCATAGTAGCATGCCCAGTGCCAGCCCTGTCTCCAGGCCCATTCTTATGATCTCGGGAAAAGTCACCAGTAACCTGCATATGATGCTTTGGGCTCTAAGTAAAAGAACAGTAGAATGGTACAAACTAGAGGATTCATCTCCTGATCAAGTCTCAAGGGTCAGGCAGTTGTGGAGACCCAGATGGATCTTCCCATCTTTCTGCTATGCTACCCTCGGCATGTTCTCCAGCCACTTTACCTTCAAGTCAGTTGCTCTAGGCATCATAACTTGCCAGTGGCAAGAGGCCAGAAGACTACTGGTTTTTTTTCCTCTAAGAGTAGTGAGGGAGCAACAGTGGCTCAGGCCACTCGTCCAGGCGCATGCGGAGGTGTGGCTACACGTCCCAGGCCTGCCTGGGCAACATAGAAATATGTCATCTGTTGAAATATTTTTTTTGGCCGGGCACAGTGTCTCATGCCTGTAATCCCAACACTAGGAGGCTGAGGCGGGCAGATCACCTGGGATCAGGAGTTCGAGACCAGCCTGTCCAACATGGTGAAACCCCGGCTGTTCTAAAAATATAAAATAGCCGGGCATGGTGGTGGGCACCTGTAATCCCAGCTACTCAGGAGGCTGAGGCAGGAGAATCCCTTGAAGCTGGGAGGCGGAGGTTGCAGTGAGCTGAGATTGCGCCAGTGCACTCCAGCCTGGGTGACGAGCGAAACTCCATCTCAAAAAAATAAATATTTCCTCCCACAAGCCCACAGCAGCCTGTGTTTCACTGGGCAGATCTGGATTGTCTGTTCACTCCTAAACCAATCATTACAAGAGGAATGAAACCATGGAATCTGCCTAGACCAGTCAGGATTGTTGGAATTAAACAGAAGTGGGATGATGATAGAAGAGGAAAATGGCTGTTTTGTGGACAGCCTGCTGCATGGTCTCTTCAGGCATGGCCTCATTCACTGCAGCAGTTAACTGCTGAGAATTGCCCCGCCCCCTTTTTAAATTGAGAAATAATCATATACCATTAAGTCACCATTTTTTTATTATTTTAAGATATGGAGTCTTGCTGTGTTGCCCAGGCTGGTATTCAACTCCTAGGCATAAAACAGTCCTCCTACCCTGGCTTCCCAAAGTGCTGGCACTGCACACCCAGCCAAAATTCATTTTAAAGCATATACTACAGTGGTTTTAGTACATTCACAACATTTTGCAACTCACTTCTGTCTAATTCTGGAATTTTTTTTTTTTTTTTCCTGAGATGGGGTCTCACTGTGTCACCCAGGCTAGATTGCAGTAGTATGACCTCAGTTCATTGTTCACTGCAGCGTCTACCTCCCAGGCTCAAGCATTTGTCCCACCTCAGCCTCCCAAATAGCTAAGACCACAGGCACACACCATGCCTGGCTAATTTTTTTGTGTTTTTGGTAGAGACAGGGTTTCGCCGTGTTGCCTAGGCTAGTCTCAAACTCTTGACCTCAAGTGATCTGCCTGCCTTGGCCTCTCAAAGTGCTGGGATTATATGATGAGCCACGCTGCCTAGCCTCTGAATATTTTCATCACCCCAAAAAAGCTCCATGCCCATTAACAGTTAACTCTCCATTTCCTCCTCCCAACATCCCTAGATAATCACTAATTACTTGCTGTCTCTGTAGAACTTTTCTGGATATTTCATCTAAATGGAGTGAAACAATCTGGTTTTTCATGACTGGCTTCTTTCACTTAGCATGTTTTCAAGGTTCATCCACATCATAAGTATTTGATAACTTGTATTGCCAAATAACATTCCATTGTATGGATATATCACGTTGGATAAATCACATCTTATTTACCTATCAGTTGATGTACATTTGGGTGTTTGCTACTTTGGGGCTATTGTGAATAATGCTGTTGCAGATATCATATAGAAGTTTTTGGCCGGGCGCGGTGGCTCAAGCCTGTAATCCCAGCACTTTGGGAGGCCGAGGCAGGTGGATCACGAGGTCAAGAGATCGAGACCATCCTGGTCAACATGGTGAAACCCCGTCTCTACTAAAAATACAAAAAATTAGCCGGGCATGGTGGCGCGTGCCTGTAGTCCCAGCTACTCAGGAGGCTGAGGCAGGAGAATTGCCTGAACCCAGGAGGTGGAGGTTGCGGTGAGCCGAGATCGCGCCATTGCACTCCAGCCTGGGTAACAAGAGCGAAACTCCGTCTCAAAAAAAAAAAAAAAAGTTTTTGTAGACATACGTTTCTAGTTCATTTGGGCATTTGCATAGGAATGGAATTGCTGGGTCATATGGTAACTCATGCTTTTTTCTCTTTAAAAAAAAATTTTTTTAGATGGAATTTCATTCTTATTACCTAGGCTGGAGTGCAGTGGCACAATCTTGGCTCACTGCAACCTCCGCCTCCTGGGTTCAAGTGATTCTCCTGCCTCAACTTCCCAAGTAGCCGGGATTACATGCACCCACCACCACACGCAGCCAATTTTTTGTATTTTTAGTAGAGACCGGGTTTCACCATGTTGGCCAGCTGGTCTCGAATTCCTGACGTCAGGTGATCCACCCGCCTTGGCCTCCCAAAGTGCAGGGATTACAGGCGTGAGCCACTGTGCCTGGCCTCATTTATTTACTTTTTTTTAAGGGACAGGTTTGCAGGCCAAGTACAATGGCTCACACCTGTAATCCCAGCACTTTGGGAGGCCAAGGTGGGAGTATCACTTGAGGTCAGGAGTTTGAGACCAGCCTGGCCAACATTGTGAAACCTCATCTCTACAAAAATACAGAAATTAGCCAGGTATGGTGGTGTGTGCCTGCCTGTAGTCACATACTACAAAGGCTATAGTGAGCTATGATTGGCCACTGTACTTAGGCCTGGCCAACACAGCAACCCTGTCTCTTTTTTAATTTAATTTTTGACACAGAGCCTTGCTCTGTCACCCAGGTTGAAGTGCAGTGGTGTGATCTTGTCTCACTGCAACCTGTGCCTCCCGGGTTCAAGCAATTCTCCTGCCTCAGCTTCCCAAGTAGTTGGGACTACAGACATGTGCCACCACAGACGTGTGCCACCACAGACGTGTGCCACCATGCCTGGATAATTTTTGTATTTTTAGTAGAGATAGGTTTTCACCATATTGGCCAGGCTGGTCTCAAACTCCTGACCTCGTGATCTGCCTGCCTCAGCCTCCTGAAGTTTATTACTGGCATGAGCCACCACATCTGGGCCGCTTTTTTTTTTTTTGAGACAGAGTCTTGCTCTGTTGCCAGGCTGGAGTGTAATGGTGCGATCTTGGCACACTGCAACCTCTGCCTCCCGGGTTCAAGCAATCATCCTGCCCCAGCCTCCGAAGTAGCTGGGATTACACACACCTGACATCACACCCAGCTAATTTTTGTATTTTTGTAGAGATGGGTTTCACCATGTTGGCCACCAGGCTGGTCTTGACCTCCTAACCTCAGGTGATCTGCCCGCCTCAGCCTCCCAAAGTGCTGGGATTACAGGTGTGAGCCACTGTGCCTGGCCTGTGTATCTTTTTAAAGAAGTGTCTATTCATATCCTTTGCCCAGCTTCTAATTAGGGTGTGGGTGTGTAACATTCTCCTTAG